TCAGCAGTGCCTTTGTCCAGAGTAGAACTTAAGTACTTTAGTGAAGGTCTCTTTTAAATATCACTAATAGATGCTGGGCTGAAGGAAGGGCATGATTTAATCAGAAATCAGCCACCTTAAAGGGAAGATGCCTTGGGTAATCACTCAAGGTGAAAACTGAATGCTTGGTTACCAGATAGAGTTAGGATTTTTATTCTTATCTAAAAATTGATGTACTTTTAAAAGTGTTTGGTGCCATAGGACAACTAAGTTGTGGGGGCAGTGAGGAGCCTTATAAGCAGTACTGATATTTTCCTCACAATAGATTATAAATGTTTTCAAGTCGTTGCAGAGAACTTTGTTGGGCTTCTAGAATTCTAAATAGTGGAGGATATCTGGTGACCAAACGTCCTGGACTTTCTGGGGATAGTCCCAATTGCAATTAATTCCATTTTAGAAAAGTGATTTAATGCATGTTTAATTAAATTCATTTGAATTTTTATAGTTCCAAATGATTCTTTCAAATACATAATTTCACAGATCAAAACCAAAAATCTTTTTGGATTGTGTTCTCACTTTTGATGCTGAAAATGTGGTCCTTGTAATGGGAAAGGCATCTTAGAGCTGAAGACTTTGGGGGTGAGGGGGTGATTGTTACTGTTGGAATAATTAATAGGTCCAATCTCTTCAAATCCTTCCTTGTCAAAGGTGATTTTTAAAATGTGTATCAGTTAGCTCTTGCTGCATAACAAATATGCCAAAAAGAATGGTCTTAAAACAGCAGTTTTTGCTCATCATTCTGGGGGTCAGAAATTTTGGCCTGGTTCAGCTGAGAGATTCTCATAGAGCTGCAGCTATCTGATGACTTAACTGGGACTGAATGCTCTAAGGTGGCCTTATTCACCTGGTTTGACCTTTAGTGGTGGCTGTTGGCTGGCTATGTGTCATCAGCAGGCTAGCACATACTTCTTCACATGGTAGCAGCATTTCAGAAGGGAAAGTCTCAAGTGCAAACACTTTTCAAGTGTCTATGTCTTCTGATGTCCTATTGGCCAAAACAAGTCACATAGAAAATTGTAGACTCAGTGTAGGAGGGGACTACACAAAGATAAGTGAACAGAGAGGCATGATTCCCTGGGAGCCCAGTGCTGTAATCATCTGCCACAACCTGTTCAACCTAATAGAGAATTATCAGCATAGTTCCTTCTTGAAATGGCAGCACTGGCACCCATTTCACCTAAAAGCTGCATCAAGTTGTATAGGTGTGCATTAAAAAGAAAGTGTGGGAGAGCAATTTGGAAAATGATTAGATCTGCTATGTAAATATGGTTGCCTGTCATGGAGGTTAGTAGTAGTATAACAACATAATCTCAAAGAACTGTTAGTAGCTTTTGGCCCTCATTAAGAATGTTCAGATTGTTCGAAGTTCAATGATACTAAGAAATTATTTTAAGCAGGACAGTGGTATGGTGGTTATGGTTTTTAAAAATCCTTATCTTCTAGGGATATATACTGATATACTAATGGATAAAATTATATGATCTGGGACTTAATCTCAAAAAAACCTGGCTATGGGGTCAGGGGCAGGGAGTAAATGAGACAAGATTGGCCAGGGTTGATAATTGTTGAACTATCATAGGTGATGACACAAAAGTCTTTGTACTCTTCTCCATACTTTGCATTTGTTTGGAAATTTCCACTAATTTTAAAAAGAATGTGTAGATCAGTTAGTGGGCTCAGAGATAGGTAGAAGTTGTCCCAGATGCCACCTTAGTTTGCTCTTCCCTGCTTTCTTGGTAGGATGGGGTAGGGTGTGCAAGCAGTCAGTGTTGGATTCCTCACCTGGGTTTTAGAGACTGTTTTACATTTGATTAAAAGAGTCAGAAGGTATCTGATGAGGGGCTCAGCAGCAAAACACCCCATCATTTGGGTGAGATTAGAAATTGTTCAGGACACGGTTGATCTCACTTTGGGTCCAGGGTAGGACACCACACTTGTGGTTAATTAGATCTGACACCACAGATTCTGAATAAGTCTCTTGGTAAGTGCTGTTCTCTCTCTAGGTGTTTTCCAGAATTTATTGATCTTAACTGTAATTTGTAGTGCTCCCTAGAATCTAAAGAAACTGGAACTGCTACCATAGCCCTGGACGTGAAAGCAGGTCTCTTTTCCTGTCATCAGTGGACCCTAGTGATTCTAAGATTCTTCATGTAAAATCAAAACTGTGAGTGAAGACCAGCCCCAAATTTCATGTTACAGCTTTCCTGTCTGCCAAGCCCAAGGCTGCCATTGTATCTCCTGGGATTGTGATTCCCACTTACCCCTACCCCCGTGCATCCTTTTCTTTGTTTAAGAAGATGGATATTTTGTTTAGGATTGGAGCTTTACACAGCTTTCACTGAATTCCATTTTATGGTGTCACTTTGATAATTTTTCAGTACTTTTCATTTAAACAACGATTGTCTCATCTTCCTTGACAAAAGGCAGTTGAAGTAGATTTCACTTTGTGCACACGCCATGTGCCTCTCTGAAAGGCACTGTGAGTGGAATGCTATTTGATCTTCGCATCTCTGAGGTTAGACAAGGAATTAGAAATATCTGAACTCTACTTTATCCCCTAACCTTATCATTCCAAATATGTGCTTAATTAGAAGCAGAATCAATATTTCAGGTCAGAATGAGTTCAAGTGGTCTAGAATTTTTATATCTAAAAATGAAGAAAAAATAATTGGCTAGTAATATTTTAAAACACTGTGCTTGGCTAGGTATATAATCATTCTCAAACTTTCCCCAGAGAATACCATTTACAGTGTTAAAGTTGAGGTGATAAAAGTGATTAATCAAATACATAATTTCTTTCCTAGTTCTTGCAGTTAGACTGCAGAACACCCTTACCCCAGGAAACAGACTTTCCAGTGAGATTTTGTAACAGTACAGCTTTTTCTGAACTCTTATCCATTCTTACCTCAAACCTCCCCAGATTATGTCTGCCTAGTAAATTCTAGGACAACAGAGCAGTCAAAATATTATTAGATTGTCCTCATCTATCTGGGAGTTTGTTATAGAATGTATCTGGCTTGTAGACGGAAGAGTTTTCACTTAATCAGTCTTGTCTAAAAGCTAGAACTGGAGGCAACTGCAGATGGAGCAGATCCGGGGAGGCTTCACTCCTGGGAAACAGGCCGTGCATCTCAGGTGTTCATCCTCATAAACCAGATGAGGGGCCAGCCTGGCCTTGACTCGGCCAAGCTCGCCATGCTGTGTGAACACATTTGGCATCAACACTTTGGACATGGGAAACCACTGACTTTGCAATAGCCAGGTTTTCTGTAGACAGGTGATGCCAAAACCAATAGCATGGTTAGCCATCTGGGTCTTTATATTATTTCTCCATTCTCTCACTTTTCAGGATCAGGTTGTGAAATGTGACCAGGAGCACCCCTAAGGCTGGAAAATAGGCACCCCTGGGGACATGGGACTCTGTGGGTCTTTGGGCGCCAAGTCAGAGAGACTGTTGGACTTGCTTGGGCCTGGCCCACCCGGCTGTTAGGTGGCCTGCCCAGGCAGTTCTGTGTGATGTAAGAATCTGTGGGTGTTCCAGGCCCTGGGTTGGGACAATCCCCTGGAGAAGGGAATGGCTACCCACTACAGTATTCTTGCCTGGAGGATTCCATGGACAGAGGAGCCTGGTGGGCTACAGTCCATGGGGTCACAGAGTTGGACCTGACTGAGCGACTAACAGTTTCACTTTTCACTAGGCCCCTTCATCTGAGGGCACAGGCTACAGTTATTGAGTATCAGCCACAGGGTAGGCCCTACCCCAGCTGCTTTACATGCATTATGTAAGTTATTCTTACCACAGACCTGCAAATGCAGTCCTGTTGGCCTCATTTGGTGAGCGAGAGACTCTTGAGAAAGCAATTTGCTGCAGATGATGCCTGGTCTGTTAGCCACATAGAGGTCTAGTCAATGACAGCTCCTCGGTTGTGTAGGTTTTGAGAAGGAAGGCATACACATAATTGAAGAAACTGGAGAAACAGATAGGCATAGTCCACAGTTGGAAAGGGTGAGCTCCTGTAAGGAGGAGGTATGCACAGAAACAGTGGGCGTTGATGTGAGAAGACCTATGGAGTAAAATCCAGGATGGAGGAAATGTACAGACGGCAGAGCTGTGTCTTTGGCCAGGCCTCACCCAACTAGGGGCAGGACGAAAAGATCCCTGGGAAGAGGGCAGGGGTGTGGGGTGTGGGGCCAGTTGGCTCCGGTATCTGTTGGGTTGGCCCAAAAGTTTATTCTGACTTTTCTGTAAGAGCGTATGGAAAAATCCAAACGAACTTTTTGGCCTACCCATATTTGAACGCCAAAGTGGCCAAGTGTGAGTGCTTTTAAGAAGAAACTTTCTAAAAATCCTAAATTCTAGAGATCCAGTCTATTTCTGATCTATATTTTTGTGATCACAGGTGCAAGCAGGCTCCACACCCACTCGAGACCAGGCTTGGGGGGTCCCCTCCACCCTCATGCATGGGGGGTCTCAGATCAGGCCTCTCAAATGACCTGCAGATGAGGCTGTTTGTCTCACCTGGAGTTCATGGTTCCTGCCTCTCTCCTTGCTGCTCTCTGAGCAGCCCCCTGGGAAGCGAGCTGGGGGTCAGGACCTCCAGGGCTTCCTGCGATGGGGTTTCAGGAGACACTGCCTCCTGGACCAGAGAACACCAAGTGGGGGGCAGTTCACGAGAAGGAGAGCTGGCCTCTAAAGGGCAGTCCTGGGGTGAAGAGCTCATCTAACTACAAAATAGTTCTCAGATCTTCTCATAACATCAGTTGACCTTCTCGGATTCATTTGGGAAGATTCGCAGTGGCAAGCATCTTTCAGTTTGGAGGCTGCGCTTTGGGAGGCGCGTGGTTGTGATGACCTCAGGGAGAAGCCCACGCTGCAGGATGGGAAAGGATGGAGTTCAGTGCCCTTTGGGGTGGGACTGTGAGAGGCCTGACCTTGCTCTGTGCACTCTCTGCTTTTCCAGGTGGCACTCCGGCTGGAGGATGAGGACGAGACGGCAGAGCCGCCCCCCAGCGGCTGCCGCGACCGCAGACGGGCCAGCGTGTGCTCGGGAGGCACGGGCAGTGAGCCCCGGGGCCTGGACCGCAGGCGGAGCCGCAGGCACTCGGTGCAGAACATCAAGAGCCCCATGTCGCCCCCGTCCAGCCCCTGCCCCTTGTCGGCTCCCGACTTCAAGCCCAGTCAAGTGCGAGATCTCCGGGAAAAGTAAGCATTAACCCAGGCTTGGAGAGGGGCACAAGGACCCCTAAAAGGGGAAATGAGGCCCAACCCTACAGGTGTCCTTGACCATCCCAGCCTTTCCTATCCCCTGCCTCTTCTCTACCTTTAAGCCATCACCCACAGTTACCCCAAAACTTCCCAAGGCAAGGTGGCCCTGGTGACATGCACAGACTTGATCTAACTCCCTGAACTCATCTTCACCTACTTGTGTTTTTATATTATTAGCATCTCAGTTAATAGATGACCTCAGGGAGAAGCCCACGCTGCAGGATGGGAAAGGATGGAGTTCAGTGCCCTTTGGGGTGGGACTGTGAGAGGCCTGACCTTGCTCTGTGCACTCTCTGCTTTTCCAGGTGGCACTCCGGCTGGAGGATGAGGACGAGATGGCAGAGCCGCCCCCCAGCGGCTGCCGCGACCGCAGACGGGCCAGCGTGTGCTCGGGAGGCACGGGCAGTGAGCCCCGGGGCCTGGACCGCAGGCGGAGCCGCAGGCACTCGGTGCAGAACATCAAGAGCCCCATGTCGCCCCCGTCCAGCCCCTGCCCCTTGTCGGCTCCCGACTTCAAGCCCAGTCAAGTGCGAGATCTCCGGGAAAAGTAAGCATTAACCCAGGCTTGGAGAGGGGCACAAGGACCCCTAAAAGGGGAAATGAGGCCCAACCCTACAGGTGTCCTTGACCATCCCAGCCTTTCCTATCCCCTGCCTCTTCTCTACCTTTAAGCCATCACCCACAGTTACCCCAAAACTTCCCAAGGCAAGGTGGCCCTGGTGACATGCACAGACTTGATCTAACTCCCTGAACTCATCTTCACCTACTTGTGTTTTTATATTATTAGCATCTCAGTTAATATCTGTGTAGAAAGCTATGCTTTATCAACTAGAAAAGAATTCAAAACACAAAACTTTGGTCTAGAAATAAATGGTATGCCACCACACCAATGTGAGATTGTTAGAACCTGAGGTACTCATGATAATACATAGTTGAGGTTAAGTAGAACAAATATGTACTTTCACATAATTTCAGTAAATACTAATGCTGTCATTTATTCAGTTAGTCATATAGCATACATTTTTCTGAAGTGCATCTTATAGGCCAGGACTATTTCCAACCATGAAGACATATGAATGGAAATGGTATGATCTCCATTTCTGTGAACCTCCTATCAGGGCTGAGAGAAAGCAAGAGAGAAGAAAGGACATTAAAAAGAAACAGAAAGATTGACAATCCCATGAGAAATTATGTATGTCCAAAATACAAAGTTTGATAAGATCTCTAGGAGCTCAGAAGTGGTTCCATAACACAGAGGTCCTGCTGAAGGATGGCTGTGTGGCTCTGGGGTCTGGGTCCAATTCTGTCTTCCCAAATGGAAGCCCTCAGTTCACTAGGATGGTGGACCTCCATGGACCAGTCTGTGCCAGACAGCTCCACCGGGGCCGACTGATACTCTGGTTGCCAGTGCCCCTCTTCTGCTGCCAGTGGAAACCCTGCTTGCATCATTTGGCTGGAGCATTTTCTCCCATTGTGGGGACCTACCTGGGAGCCACATGTAGGTCAGGAGGCTGCATGGTGAAGAACTGAACTCAGAATAGGTGGGATGACCTTAAGGCAGTGATTCAGATATGTCCCTTCCTCTCTGTCCCTAAGGGAACACCCATCCGCACTCTACTGAGAAGTGACTTGAGCAGTCTGGTACCCGTGGGATCCTAGAACATGAACCAGCCCACACCACTGGGTGCCTCCTATTGCAGAAGGAGGAGAGGGCATCGATTTGAGAATGATGTGGAAAGAAAATAGAAACTTCTGAGCAGAATGAGAAATGAGAACATTTACTGTGAAATTGCATGTTGTGATCTAAGATCTTTGAGAAACTCGGGCAATTCTCACAGGGTCCTAAAACTCCCTGTAGTGCTGTTTCTGCTGGTTAGAGAAATGAGTATGGAGAGAGTTGGGCAAAGTGGACTGGAAAATCTATTTATGATCACCAAGGATGCTGAAGGTGGGAGTTATGAGGCTTCGGCGGTAGCACTTGGTATATGGTGCTCTGTCTGCCTTGTGTCATGTTTGTTCCTGTTCTCTTTCTTGTCGTTACACTTTTAAAGATCCCTGAACTGTGACTCGGGTGACCACGCCTTGTGATACGTTGGCAAAGGCAATGACAATGAGGTGGACCGCTTGGGCACAGCCCACAGTTTTGAGGCTCTGGCCTTGGTGGGATCTGGAATAGGACACTTTTTCTGAGTGCTCCCGCCTCAGTGTTTTCAAATAGGACTGATTTTTCATTTTAATGAAATGATTAATGTAAGCTTCACAGCATTTGCTTAAGAAAAATCCACTTTCCAGCTTATAAAGAAAGACCATGGTTTTAAGATTGATGATGACAAAGTGGCTTCATCTCTGAAGTCTATTGGAGGGATTTTGCCCTGTGGCCACAAAATCACAGCATGATTTTGGTAGAGATGGGAGTAGGAGAGAGGGAGAGGGTGACGAGAAGCAAATCGGGAAACAGTCCCTGCATGCATGGCTTAGTCACCTGCTTAGCATCTGTGCCTCAAACGTCACCTTCATCAAGAAGTTCATTGTGCTTGATTGCCCGTAGACCTTGAAAGACACAGACCCACACCTGACCTAGACTACTGTTCATCTGTGTGATCATTCTGGCTCTGCTTACTGCTAACTTGTAACAACATGCCTGCATGCATCACACATGAAGAATTGTAGGTCTGATTTGTTAACTCTGTGTCCCAAATAATGCCAATACTCTTGAAAAAGAAAGTAGAACTATGTTACAGATTAGAGATTCATATTGTCTTCAAATGTATCTATATCTAGCAGTCTGTACTCAGATGCTTCTTTTATGTAGCTTGAATTGTATTCTCCTGATGATCCTTTCTAGGGTCCAGGCAGGACAAGAATCATTATCCTCATATTACAAATGAGAAAGCAATCAGGGGCTTGGTGCCTTGTGACAAATCTTAGAACCAGGGGACTGACCCTTGAGTTAAATCTAAGTTTTTGACCTTTGCCTCTCAATGTCCCAGTCATATACTTCCCACCTGCCACTTCTAAACATAATCATTGAGTGAAATTTGTACTTCTGGACTTTTTTAGACAAGGAATTTTATTTGCATACCATGCAGGTATATTTTTATTCAGGTTCATATGAAAATTCAGAGTCGAACAGGAGAGAATCCCAGAGTCTTCTTATAGACCTAGGCCTGCTAGGCTATGAGCTTTACTAAGGCCTAATAAGGCTTGAAACTCACCTTCCTTTCGTTTCTGAAGAAATAGAACTCCACAGTGAGCACTCATCAGATAAGTTATGTGTTTATTGTTCATCTGCCACCTAAAAGTACTTTTTGTGATCGTGTGTGCCATAGTTTCACCTTTGGAATTAAATTTACAGATTTGATTAGAAAGAAAAAAAAAAAGTGGGGCCTTCAATTTTTTTTTTACCAAGAAGTTTATTTTTAACACCTAATCATCAAAAGAGCCAGTGTCTCTGATTTAAATTGTAATCGGAATTGATGTTAGGACTAAAAAGTTTTCAAAGTTGCCTAGCCCACAGCAGAAGCCCATTCTATGCCCTCAGCCTCAGACATTCTCCTCTCTGAGGCACCCCATTCTGTCCTCGAACTTCTCAGCTCCTTAGGAAAGCCCCCTGGTCTAAATTTGCTCCATAATGTGGTAGCTTTATTATTGCTTAGAATTTCACTATATGGATAAAATTTCCCTGTAATGTTTCCCTATTCATCCCAGTTCTCACCACTGTCAGCACGCCTGAGGTCCTCTTCCTGTTCTGTGTGACCACCTTTCTGACAATGAACATGGTCTGGGACTTAATATGTAAACTTGAAATTTCATCCTGTTGACTTCCACACAACATTCCAACCCGCAGAGGTAATTCTGAGCTTCATTTAGTCACTCCTGTTAGCAGTTGTGCCTTCCAGCTTTCAGCCGTGTGTATATTTGAATACACATGGACGAGTGACCTGGCGGGTAGTGGATGCTGACAGCAGCTTGGTGCAGACGACTCCCATGTGCCTCGAAGTCAAGTGTTGGAAACATTCTCTGTCAAGGGCCAGATAATAAATATGTTAAGTTTTACAGGCCAGTCTTTGTTGCAGCTACGCAATTAAATTCTCCCTTTGTAGCATGAAAGCCGCCACAGACAGCAGGTAAGCAAGTGAGCATGGCTGCCTTCCAGTGAGACTTTATTTATGGACACTGAGATTTGAGTTTTACATGTTACAAAATATTTAGATTTTTTTCCCCCAACCATTAAAAAAAGTGAAAATCATTCTGACAGACTGTACCAAACCAGGTGGTGGGCCACATTTGGCTCACAGGCTTGCCAACCCCTGTTCTAATGGGCTGGGTTTCTTGAGGGAAGTTGATGGGGAATGGCAGAGATGACAGAGAGGAGTATGTGGCAGACAGAAGCACCCATCATGCCCTAGGAGAGGACTGTTAGGAAACAGCGTCCTTAAGTCCAGGGTTGTAGCTCGGAATATTCCATGAAGACGTGCAGGCGGTTTGCTGATGGCCGCTCATGAGTTGTCAGTGGACTATTGAGGGGGCTGGAGAAAGCAGTGGTGAGTCAGATGAGGGGACACACAGAGCCAGTATGGAGGCGGGCGTGTGGTGATGACCCCAGGAAAGGCTGGGCTGCTCGGGGAGGCAGACTGCGGTCAGTCCCAGTGGTGCCCAGAGGCAGTCGTCTTCAACCTGCTGTCCGTTGTACAGTCTATGAAGGTGGTAGTACCCTCCCCATTTTACAGATGTGGAAACTGAGGCACAGAGTGGTTAAAAAACTTGCCCCAGATCTCACAGGTTTGGTAAGTGGCATAGTTGAGTTTGCCTGCACTCAGTCAAACTAGTCTCTGAATCTATAGAACATGTTCTGTGGTGACAGGCTTTTTCTCTTTTGAGGATGAATTAGAGAAAGCAAAAAATCTTTCAGAACAAATGTCCCCTGGAACTTGGTC